ATGGAACCGAAACTAAATGCAATTGGGAACACAAGTACCCTTTTATATAAAACTATCTGTGATACCAAGAAAGTATTCTAAAAACCAAAACATAACATGCTCNAAACCGATCCTGTGATGGAATAAAGTTCCTAGAGAATGTTGCATTTTCCGTCAACGTTCAATACCAGATTGATCAAATGGAACCGAAACTAAATGCAATTGGGAACACAAGTACCCTTTTATATGAAACTATCTGTGATACCAAGAAAGTGTTTGAACAGGCATTGACACAGTTCAAAACCAAAACATAACATGCTCGTTAATGCATAGGACGTTCTCGCCCACTTGTGTTGTATAGCATGATTTATTTCATGACTTTCATGATTCTACGCCTGGATGCGAATACACACGTAACCTCCCGCTCATCAAACAAAGTAGCTGTTGTATTATTATAGCTGATATGAAAGTGGATGATTCCGGAATTGAAGTTATCAAACTGAAAAACCGAAAACCACGAAATTCTTAGAGCTACGAAATTGCAGTTGCACACGGTGAATCTTTAGAGCATTCTATTGAGAGGTACACAAAGGTGGATCTTCTATACAATTGGAACTGAGAATTTGTTTTGTATATAGCAGTGGTAGAGTTCATACGACCATTTGAAATAGTATGGTACATAACGCATATGATGCAGTTTGACGACGATGAAAGAAACAATTAGGATGATGTTCAGTGCCTTGGGCGTTTTGTATCTGACTGAATGCTTCAGGCTAGCTGTGATAGATCCCTTAGCTGAGATGTCTGAAAGTCGTGCTTTGCGAAGAGAGCGAGGAGTGTTAACATGATACGTAAGAGTTTCAGTTCTATTGCATAGCGCAATTGAAACTCAAAAGAGATCAGCCGAAAGGTTGTAAAGGAATGTACAACAAACAACACGTTCACGTCCAGCAGCAAATTTTTTGCGAGCATTTCTGAATAGTTCTCAAGGAACTGTCTTCCTTTCTGCTCCCATTCAATCAGCTTCATCTTCTTTAGAATATCGACGAACGAATACAGTGATGCAATTGGAAGTGATAGTGCAGTGTATGTACAGTGTAGTGTGAGGATCAGGCGGAATGGAGTAGCGAAGAATGCGTGGTGTCTTCAATCGCCTCGGGCTAGTTCGGATGCATTTTTCATCCAACACGTATCTTCGGTTTAGTTAATGTAACCGTCTACCAGTGAAACCAATTGCTACTCTGAAAATATTTTGTGTTGATGTGTTTGTGTGGTGTTCCAGTGAATTGAATTGTTTGTTGTAAGTTTGTACGTGTGGCTATCGTCAACTAATGCACTTTTTTTTAACATTATTCGCATCTGCCCACACCGTTAGCCTGTGCTGAAAACGAACCACGAAACTCCTCTAAATATAAGTTCAACTCAGAGAATCGCTCATTCAGCATTCATTCAGTCATTTCTCTAGTTAGCTTTCAGCCAATCACTTTTCATACATTCAAGCCATAAGATTCAGGGTTCGCTAACTTCGACTTAAACGATGCAGTTGGTACATTCATTGTTCAGTTTTGCACATACAAACAAACCGACGTAGACGAAGTAGCACCCTTTATCTTTATTTATTTGTGTGCCTTTGGGCTTCGATTTTCAGTTTAGCCATTTGCCGTGAACGTGTAACCGCCAGTTGCAGATTCAGCTACTCTTGATAATTCGCAGGATTTTCACAATTTTCCTCATTCATTCGGCTCTTCATTTCTCCCTTAAAACCCTTCATCAGGATTTGAGTTGGATTACGAATTTTTCTACTACCATTAGCTTCCTCACTACGCAACGTCAACAATAAATTAACAACTGCACCAACCGTATGAACCAACGAATGAGGACTTTAGAAATATCGTATATTATTTACATCAGGAGCTGTTGCTCTTGTTATTACCGTCAGCGCTGTGACTGCTTTGTTAAATTGACCTCTCGGTTTCTCCTCCCTCAGTTACCCGCAACTCGAACCCTCTTAGCAGTTCAAGTCAGTTAGTGAATGTCCCTGGAGTACTTCCAGTCGACCGACAAGTTCAAGGAACATTGCACTGAACCCTCATTCAAATTTCTCAATTAATTCAATCAATGTTCCCGTTCCTTTCCCTATTCGTTACTTTTCTGTTCTTTTCCTCTGTTCTAAACTCATGTTAGTCATCGTCTATGATCGTTTTGAATTTTGTTGAGATGCGAACACCGAAACGATTCGTTTAGCCATAGAATTAATTGTGATTATTATTAAACTTTATATTATTCCTTTATTGTTAGCACCTTGGAGGTACACCCGTTTGTTGTTGGTGAACCAGAGCTCAAACATACACAATGGACTACGAAAACGATCCAGGATGGCAGTATCTAAGGCAATCACGCGAACAAATGATCGCGGTACTTTATTGACTCTATATGAATTTGAGTCGCTTTTTCGCAAGCTTCATTCGATTTTGCTTGGATAATTCACCGTACTGGTTTTCGAATCTGTTGAGAGATTTACCACATCTCATAGGTTTCTCAATCTTGAACGCCTGGTAGCACATTGGATTTTACTGAGTATTCCGTTTGATCACTTAGAAACTGCGAAAAATCAATTTATCTTGATGGCGATAATCATATTAGGTCTCTTGCGATTCATACCTTCTGACGACACTTCATCAGTTCAACCTTACGTAATACTCCATAAATATTGACTACAATTATAAGTGGTTTACTAAAGAGCAGCAAAAATATGCTACGTTGAATGAACACTTGATTCATTGATTTCTTTACGCAATTGTTTGAGGAATCGTCCATGTATATTTTCAGGACCAGTCGAAGCCATATGACTCGAAAAAGGATTGTTGGGTTCCAGACGCCGAAGAGGGCTTCATTTCGGCTCAAGTTAAGAGCACCAAAGGTGATATGGTCGCAGTTGTCACATCACGAGGAAATGAGGTAATCCTCTGGATGATCCTATGACCTCAGAGGCAGTATTCACGAGTGATCACCATAGCATAAAGAGTCCAAAAGAAAGCTTCTCAGAGAATAAATTTTTAGTTTTATTGAGGAGTTTCATGACGTTTCGGTGGAACATTCGAAAATATTTTTCGTGCTTGTCAAATATCTGTTCTTCCAGGTGACACTGAAATCGGAACTTGTGCAAGAGATGAATCCACCAAAGTTCGAAAAGACTGAAGATATGTCGAATTTGACATTCTTGAACGATGCATCTGTACTTCACAATCTACGAGCACGATATGCTTCTATGCTCATCTATGTGAGTATTTTCACCGTTTCTGTTTTTGTGCACATGAAAAGGTTGAATACTTTCAATACGTACATGCTGAACTGACTCCAAATTCGATCATTTCTTCCTAAAATACGAATAATTTTCAGACATATTCTGGCCTATTCTGCGTTGTGATCAACCCATACAAACGTTTACCAATCTACACGGATTCTGTAGCAGCAATGTTCATGGGCAAGAGAAGAACTGAGATGCCACCCCACTTGTTCGCCGTTTCAGATGAAGCATATCGAAATATGCTTCAAGATCACGAAAATCAGTCGATGTTGATCACCGGTGAATCTGGAGCCGGTAAAACTGAAAACACCAAAAAGGTTTACCTCATTAACAAAATACTAGAATTGTTCCTTACACACACTGAAGCATTTCTATATAGGAAGCACAGAGCTTCATTTAAATTCTCCTACCATCTAATTCGGAAGATACGATGGCATTCCGTCGTATTCATTAAACATTGTGAGAGTTCACATTGCTAATTATTTCAGGTAATTGCATATTTCGCAGCTGTCGGTGCGTCTCAACAGGAAGCCAAAACTGCGATTGAAGGTGGTAAGAAAAAGGTCACTCTTGAGGATCAGATCATTCAGACGAACCCTGTTCTTGAAGCTTTCGGTAATGCTCGAACAGTGCGAAACAATAATTCATCTCGATTCGGAAAATTCATCCGAATTCACTTTTCAAAGAAAGGAAAAGTCGCCTCTTGTGATATTGAACATTGTAAGTTCAAATAACTTATGCGTACTATATCCATTTATTTTACATTGAATCATGCCAATATGTTTATTCGTAATCACCAACAGATTTGTGGTCCCATTTTTCATTCTTGACAAAGAATACCGTTAATGTAACTTCAGATCTTCTCGAGAAGTCTCGTGTAATTCGTCAGGCGCCTGGAGAGCGATGTTATCACATCTTCTATCAAATTTACTCAGACTTTAATCCAACCCTCAAAAAAGATCTGTTATTGGATCGTCCTCTCAGAGAGTACTGGTTCTGTGCTCAGGCTGAACTTACAATTGATGGCGTTGATGATAAAGAAGAGCATCAACTAACTGATGAAGCATTCGATATTTTGCACTTCTCAGCGGAAGAGAAAATGGACTGTTACAAATTGGTAGCAGCCATCATGCACATGGGTAACATGAAATTCAAACAAAGACCTCGTGAAGAACAAGCTGAGCCCGATGGTACAGATGAAGCTCAGAAGTCAGCTAAAATGTTCGGTGTCAACCACGAAGAGTTCTTGAAAGCGTTAACCAGACCTCGTGTCAAGGTCGGTACCGAATGGGTTTCGAAAGGTCAGAACATCGAGCAGGTTACGTGGGCTGTCGGTGCTATGGCAAAGGGTCTGTATGCACGTATTTTCAATTGGTTGGTCAAAAAGTGTAACGATACTCTTGACCAAAAAGGCATTTCACGAGACTACTTCATTGGTGTACTGGATATCGCTGGTTTTGAAATCTTCGATGTAAGATTTGTAGTGTTCTCAAAGTTCTGTTCGGAATCTAGGTCCAGCGTGAACAAAAATTACCTTCACACTGAGAATTTTGAAGTATCGCAGCTAATGAAAAATTCACCGAATACTTTCAATCAATACTTTTCATTTCTTTCGCAGTCAATACATTTCTCATAACAGATCACTTTATATTAATGAACTTCAAAACCGATTCTCTCATGAACTCTTCAGAATACCACTCTTTCAGTTCAACTCATTCGAACAGTTATGGATCAATTTCGTTAACGAGAAATTGCAACAGTTCTTCAATCATCACATGTTCGTATTGGAACAAGAGGAATACGCTCGAGAGGGCATTCAATGGACCTTCATTGATTTCGGTCTAGATTTACAAGCTTGCATTGAGCTGATTGAAAAACCATTGGGCATTATTTCGATTCTTGATGAAGAATGTATTGTGCCGAAAGCGACTGACTTGACTCTTGCACAAAAATTGAACGATCAGCATCTCGGCAAACATCCCAACTTCGAAAAGCCAAGACCACCAAAGGGCAAGCAAGGTGAGGCACACTTCGCGATGCGACATTACGCTGGTACGGTACGTTATAATGTGCTGAATTGGTTGGAGAAGAACAAGGACCCGTTAAACGACACTGTTGTCAGTGTTATGAAAGCAACTCAAGGCAACAAGCTTCTGAACGAAGTCTGGCAAGATTATACCACACAAGAGGAACAAGCTCTTCTAGCTAAAGGTCCATCAGCTGATTGTTCAGAATGATTTTGATTTTAACTAGCCCATTCTTAGAAGCACCGCGTTTTTCCTGTGCTGAATTCAATAGTATCTGAGATTTTCAAATTTTTTGATTGAATGTTAGTGTATCGACAGCTTCTATAATGGCACATACTCCCTGTTCATATGAGCGGGGAGCAGTCAAAGTTAAATCAATCGAAGTTAATTGAGCATCTTCATCTTTGGGCACGCGATGCTGATACCACTGCGCTTGAAAAAAAACCATTTTTTGGCTGTATGTTCATCGAAAATTGTTTTGCAGAAGGTGGCCCCGGTAAGAAACACGGAAAATCGGGTTCATTCATGACTGTGTCGATGTTGTACCGTGAGTCATTGAACAAT